GTTTCAAATCAAGAAACAGGTTTGTGTTGCCTGATAATATTAATAATAATATAATTTTTTTTTGTCTCTTAGAAATACACATTTAATAGTAAGTTAGGATGCAGATGTAGATTTATGTTCATTATCAAAATCAGTAATATCTGTAAGTATTGTAGCAACCTCATTTTTATGGTGAAATTTAATTATTCTGATTTCTGACTTTTTTTTTTATTAACCACTGGTCTTCCATAGTAGCATACATTTAGATCATGATAATCACAGTTAAAACCACAAATATAGCACCTCAATACCATGGTAAAAATGTAATATGGTTTTAGGTATTTGTATGAAAAACAGTAGCTAGTCTAAATAAATTTAGTATAAATGCATAAACGCTATAGCTTAACCACAAAATAAATAAATATATTTGACACAAATACCCACATTTCTGACACAATACCATGGTGCAGTTAGTGCTACTACAGTAAATCTATGGTAAATGATGGCAATTTGTAGATTAAAAAGTCTTCTAACTGTATCGCTGCGAACAGTGTTTCTCCTGTTTGTCAGCGCTGTTTCATCTGGCTGTAAACAGAGTTATTTTTGTTCTTCGCTGAATGCAAGCTCTTCACACTGGATCTCACAGCACCGTTTGATCGAGACTCATCAGCGAGTAACACATCTGCTCTAGTGAAGCTTGCGCCACGCCGCCGTTTAAACTTTGATCCGAGCGGATAAACGGTCCAAGTGCCGCACTTCAAATGAGTTGTGCTCTTTCATTCCGCCTTTGCCTCATAAACATTATAGCGAAAATTTATCGACCTCTTGTTATCGTTTATCGAGGAAATTTAAAATGTGCGATAATTATCATTATCAATTTATCGCCCAGCCCTAATGTTTATATATATATATATACTGTGTACACACACACACACACACACACAGTGGAGATCAAAATTAGAGAACAACCTACAATTTCCTACATTTTTTAAGTTCACTGCTTAGTCCTGTTTGAAGTTATCCTAACAGGAGTAGAAGGGCAGTTTTTAAGCATATTTCATACATTAATTGTATTCTGAAGCACAGTATAAAAAAACTTAAATGAGATATTTAAAAAAGAACTCTGATCAAAATTAGAGAACACTTACAGATACCTCCAAGTTATTGGTGTTAATCTGGCACCTGGTGCTAATTTCCTTAATTATATGACAAACCCTATTTGACTGGCAGCATTCCTCTAATTTTCATTGAGATTGTAAGATGGCAGGCCACTCTAAGGCTGCGTTTACACTTGGCATTAACATGCGATCACTGTGATCTGATCAAGCAGATCGGATCATCAGTCAATCAGGACACGGCGCGTTTACACTTGGCAAAATCAGCTGACATCTCAATCTGAATAACCGATCGGATCTGTATTTCCCTCGCAATATCGAGGATATCGAGTCAAGCTGAAGTGGTGGGTTTTCTTTTGAAAACTATTTTCAGCCGCGGGACATTTTACAAATTAAAATAAATGTACGAGTCTCGTTAGCGCTCTGTTCTTCTGACAGTTCAGGAGGGGGCGGCGTTTTGCGTGATGTCGACCTGCGAATGCAGACACGATGGCTGGATTGCGTTTACATTACACTGAGATCCGATCACAATGCGTCCTCGACTACCTCTGGACCAGGACACGCAGATCGGATAACATTCCGATCAGAAGCGCGTTTACACTTGTCTTTTCAATGTGTATGTGGACAACATCCGGATACAGGTCGCATGTTAATGGCAAGTGTAAACGCAGCCTAAGGTGACTGAAACCCTGCAACAGGAGGTTGTCCAGATGAAGGCCAAAGGGATGACACTTTCAGCCACTGCAGGAGAAGTTAGTCATTCCATATCTGTGATTTTTCAAATATTGCAGATTTACAATGACACTAATTCAAGTCCCCCAAAAAGGCTGGCCGTCCATGTAAGACAAATGCATGAGAAGACCGGATAATGCGAAGACTCTCAATGGGAAATCAGTTTAACACTGCAGCTGGAATTTCTCGACAGTTCAGCGCTGAACAGGGTATGGATCTGTCTCTGCATGTTTAAGAGAAGTCGGACTGAAAGCACGCTCTGCAGTGACCAAGCCTCTCATCAGCAGAAAGAATCAAAAGGCTAGGCTCACCTTTGCTGCGGAGCATGTTGTGTGGAGAGAGGAGAACTGGTCCAAAGTTCACTTTAGTGATTAGAGCAAGTCTATTTTATTTGGATCAGATGGGAAACATTATGTTCGGCATCAAACTATGGAAAGACTGAACCCCGAGTGTGTAAAGAAGTGAAAGGTGGAGGAGGAAGTGTCATGGTTTGGGGGATTTTTTCTGCAGCTGGAGTTGGGTCTCTTATGAAGAGTGAATGCAAAAGTTTATCAGAACATCCTTCAGCAACATGCGGTACCTTCCCTGTGAGCATCTCCCAATCAGCCTGCAATTTTCATGCAAGACATTGTCCCGTGACACTGCAAAATAGATATAGCAGTTCCTTGAAGCTAAGAACATTGAAATGATGAAATGGCCGACCCAAGAGGTGGGTTTCTGAAGCATTGCAAGTGTTACAGCAAGCACTAGCCAAGTATGTTAATGTTGAGCAGTAAGCTCATTGGCTGCCGATACGAAAAGAACCAATCAGCTTCACCATATGAATAATGATGTCATTATGCGCCATCCAGAGTTTCATGACAGAACTTTGTATATACATATAAATAAATGGCACATTTGCATACCAGTTGGATTTCAGTGGCTCAGAAATATCTTCTTGTTTTTGCATTGCTCAATTTATCATTACTTTTATTTCCGTGCCCATCCCTGATCCATACTATTATAGTTATTATAGTATTATTAATATGCTATTAGTAATATTTTATATGGGCTTTTTTATATTATCAGTTTTCATTTAGTTTTACTGAATTTAGTTTTATGCTTTCTGATGAGCTTTCTACTTATTGCAGTTTTAGCTTTGGTAATTTTAATAGTTTTGGTAACACTTTAGATTAGGGAACATATATTCACTATTAACTAAGAGTTTTCCCTCAATAAGCTCTTAATTTGCTCATTATTAATAGTAAGGTAGTTGTTAAGTTTAGGTATGGGGTAGAATTAAGGGATCTAAAATACGCTCATGCAGATTAAAGCATTAATGTGTGCTTTATGAGTACTAATAAACAGCCAAAATGCTAGTAATATGCATGATAATAAGCAACTAGTTATTAGTGAGAATTGGTCCTTAAAATAGTGTTACCAAACTTTTTTTTTTTCAGTTAGTTGCTGAGGCGAGTTTAAGTTTTATTTCACCTTTGTTTTATTAGTTTTAGTTCTAACATTTGTTCTAACCTACTGTGAAGGACATCTTCGTTTTGCTATATGATTGCTAGAGCACCTGAAGCATGGCTATGCCTGTTCTTTTAACTGTATCTATCAGCCTTGAGTCCACAGAGAGTCGCTGAGGCAATGTGACTTAATATAGTTTTTTTTAAGCATAATGGAAATGATGACAGGCAGATAAGTGACTTGCGGTGGAGCCTTTTTTCCCCTCATATAGGACCACATTTACTCACTTGGGGATCTTCCTTACTCATCAAATTACCACCACTCTCGTTTTTTCAGCCAAACACATAGTGCAAAGAAAGAATGAATAACTGAATTGATGACAGCAGGCATATTATGCGCGTTATTTTAAAGTCCTCTCACCCTTAGAAGCCCCCCGTCTCTGTCTTATTACACCTGATGACAGTGAGATGTTTTAATGCTCGAGTCTAGTTAAACAGTGAATGACCCTGTGTAATTGAAATCAATGAAGTTTCTGCAGCGGTTTGTTGCTTAGCCCCACACTTTGTGTTAAACAATACGAGTGGGCTTGGCCAGACTTCAACGCTGCCAGACATTCTGCACTCCTGCAGGAAAGTCATCAGAATTCCTCAAACTTAGTGTATTCCTGTAGAAAGTTGCTCTTACGGCTACAGTACCCACAGAGGGGGAGGGAAACGCCAAATTAAACATGATTAATATTGGATTGCTTATTTTGTTTTTCTTCTCTTGTTTTTCCCCATTTCCCTCCCTTTCTTCTCTGATGCAGCCACAACCAGAGGACGACGACGTTCAGTCATCCTGTGACGGGACATATCTCCTCAGAAAACACTGACTTCATTTTACAGGACCAGTGAGTGCTTTTCTTCCTTTTATTTGCATGAAATGTACTTTAGGATGCACACTTCCTGCTTTCTCTAAATGCAGGTGGTTAAGAGGTCAACGCAGGTCATTTGTATGGTTAACCATGTTTATGGAGTTCTTTAATTAAATAAATAGCTGCAAGATTTTTTAAATTGTTCTTTAACAGATGCATGAGTAGTGGGATGTAACGTAATGATTCATATCATATGTCTGTGCTGGAATCTGCAAATCAGTTGGAAATGTCCAGAGGTAATGGTAATGATGGCCATTACTGTTATTGCATATTCCTGTGAAGGTGATGTGGGCATTTTCTAGCTTAGATCTGCACTACTAAAGTAGTATTTAAATTGAAGATGTCTGGTAATCTGTGCTTTATTTTGACCGTAAAGTGTTGGGGAAGATAATTTGAAACTGCCTATGCTATAAACTAATAACATAAATTAGTTAGTTTTTAATATTTGCAACAAAATTCACAGTATCTCAGCAAAAGAAATTGTTTCAGTTGTCAGATTAAGTGATGAGGGAGAATGATTGGGTGTTATACAGAGTAATAAAAAGACATACATTAAGTAGTCTGCATCCAAATATGTCTACTTTTAAATTATATAGTAGAAAAACAGAATGGGAAAATAATATGTCCAAATTCACAGAATTTATAAAACGATAGACAAAAAGTACCCCTGTTTCCGGCGAGATTCGGAAGTGCACTTCCTTTGGACACCACCTTATTATCCACCTTATAATTTATATTAGTCTTTAAATTTACATTAGTTTTTTTGCTGTGGTATTTTTGTTAAAACCATAGGCAAAAGTTCCTCTTGTAGGCCTAAGTGTTCTGTAGGCTACTGATTTTTGCTCATGTTATTCAGCTGCAACAGTAACAGCTTTGTTAAATGACAGAATAAATATGTTTGGCATCTAAATGTTTGACTTAATTTTTTTTTTATTGGAGTGGTTTTATCTTACTGGAATCGAAAATAGGAATCTATAAGAATCGGAATTGATGAGCAGAATCGGAATCAATAAAATTCAAATGCTACCCAACCCTACCCAGAGATTATGCTATTTCGAATGCAGCTTTAGTTACTGGTTTGAATCAATCAATCAATCAATCAATTATCTTGTTCTTGAGTGGTTCTTGATTTACTCAGTGCACCGCAAATACTTTCATGTCCAACTCACAATAAACAGAGAACTAGGGGAATGTTAATGGAATCAATATGGAACCTGAATCATTCAGTGGAATTGGAAGCTTGCGTGAAGTTTTGTTATGGATGAATTTGCCTTTGAGATTAGTCATTATCAGCAATAAATTGAAGTCATTTTGCAATAGTATTAAGAATTGCAATTTTTTTTTACTATTCCATTAAAATGTGTAACACGGCACCTGTTCCTCTCCTATTCCTTTCCATTAATTTATGTGTCTTCCCATATGTCAGTAAGCTGAGCTGGGATTTCTACCTCATCAGTGCTGTGAGGGTTAAGAGAGCTCCGATTTACATGCCCTGATGAGACAGATCTCATTCTGTTACTCACTAACACCAGAGGAGAGAACAAGGGTTTGCTGTTTATTTTGAATGCTCTGCTGCCTGCTGAAACAAACCCAGGTGAAAACTATTATGAAGTTCAACCGCCTACCTTGATTCCCCTGTTATCACTCCATGTTCTCCATATAGAAGTGGGCTCATGGATTCAGAATGTTGGACTCTTGTAGGAATATCGCACACAGCCGTGAAGACCATCTCTCATGCAGATGACAGGTAAGTAAATCTTGCTGCCAAGGTTGATTGATGCTTCTCATTAGGGCCACTGTGCATGGAGGCCCTGTGCTAGGTCCAGGCTCAGATTAACCATCATCGGGAGAGTAATTTGAGTTTTGTGTCACAGAGGGATCTAGTTATTAGTTTACCAGCTTACAGACCTCTTGTTTGAGTGCTCAAGAGATAAAGATCATGGCCAAATGTGTTAAGTGAGAGAGGAAGTTTGTCAGTTGTAGCTGTGTCGATAAGATGGTGAGACTTAATGTTCTGTGGGCTCTCGAATGCCTGTGGTTTGTAGAAGAGCGAGATAGTGAAGTTACAGGACATAACTGGAATACTTACCACTGCTGGCTGCTCATATGTGCTATTTTAAGCACAAGTCCGGCCTCATTCACTCTTCTCTCCCCATCAACCCTGCCTTTTCCATTAGTAATCTAGCTATGGAAACTAAGCTCACCCTAACAGCTGTGATAAGTGCTGATCTTTGGGAAAATCATTGATGTCAGCAGAGACATGTCAAAATCATTCATCACAACCAGAAAGTTTCTGCAGGCTGCCATGGGTTGGTTTTAGCAAGTTGTAGATCTCGAATTCTGGAGAATATGTATTTACTGTGGTCGGCTGGCAGAGACACTCCCTGCCTAAATATGTAGTATGCTGATATTTCAGTTGATCTCAGTGTCCTTAATACTGCTGCATACTCCCACCCCTCCTCAGTGAAGGGCTAAAATGTGTTCTGCGACCCCATTGGTGGTGATGTCAGTGGAAAGTGTGCCGTGATAGGAGTGATTCCCTGATCCCCTGGCAGTGCAGTACTATTGATCTGAATGGCTAATCTGAGCACAGTGCTCATCTCAACAAACACTAGGGCATGGTGCATTGTCTGCCACAAAGGATGACTGCCTTTTTTTGTATGAATTATTAATTCCTCTAATGGCCAAACTCCATACAACACTTATTGGTAACTTTTAAAGGGGTCCTATTATGCTCTTTTACAAAGTCTTGATTTTGTTTTGGGGGTGTACTAGAACAGACTCTCATACTAGATTGTTCGAAAAACACATGATTTTTCACATATTTTACATTATTACAACACCTCTCTCCCCAGTCTGGCATGAACGGCTCGAATAGTTCCTGAATCAAATGAAGGCCCGCCTTCTGAAATACGAAATGTGCTGTGATTGGTTAGCTGGGCCAGTGTGTGTTGTGATTGGCTCCACTCGGCGCCTGGTCGCGAAATGGCACGCCCCTTACCATAGCCGCCTGCAAGCTTCAGTATAAATATTGTGTCAAAATCAAATCAATTTGAGCGCGATTTAAACCCGGATGATTGTAACCACTCTAAGTTCGTCTGCCTTGGGAAAGCTAGCGTGTCTCTGGCATAGTGATAACACTCGTTGCCTTCTCTAGTGCAGCTCAACCAGGTCTCGTCCCATTCGTCGATATTTGTGATATCACAAATCCCAGAAAATATGCGTTGTAGTCCAAACGAGTCGTTCGTTGTAGTTTTTGAAAAGGGATTTCTGTTAAATAAAATATCTCCTTTTGAAGTGGACTTTGAGCTTGTAACTTCGCAGATCTTTTTTATGCTCAAACAGCAACATTACAGACAAACTAATGTTGAAAAAGTGAAATCGCATAATAGGACCCCTTTAAATGTAACTCATATAAAATATATTACATGCATGCACAGTTTTAAGGCAGCTTTAATCGCCTTTTTGGTAACTTCATGACTTAACTGACCACGACATTGCATGCACATAGTTTATTTCACTTTGATATGAAAGGATACAGGCTACAGAGCACCCTGGCGCCTTTGTGCCTGCAATTGAAGAGCCGTTTTTTTCCCCCGCACTCGCTTGATTCTCGCCTGGCGCTGAAGTGAAGTGGAGCGCGCATCTGAAACGTCGTTCTGCGACTGAATAAATGCTCTTCTTGTCAAGAGAAAAAGTGACAGAAGCAGCAGTTGTGAGTAGGGTGGCCAACCCTAGCCCCGCCCCTGCGTTAATTGCGTTAAATATTTTTAACGCATTAAACTAAAAAAATGAATCGCCTGCGTTAACGCGCTAATTTTGACACCACTAATTATATTATATTATATTATATTATTGTGGTGAGGCGGGGCTAAAGTGGGGGGGTGGTAAAGTGAGGCGGTCAATTACATGATAACTAACACCTGTCTCTAATTCCAGTGAATGGCGGAGAGATGGGATTTAAGCGGCTCCCAGACCTGGGACAGAAAAAGGACTGATGCAGCACGGATTGCATGCACATAGTTTATTTCACTTTGATATGAAAGGATACAGGCTACAGAGCGCCCTGGCGCCTTTGTGCCTGCAATTGAAGAGCCGTTTTTTTCCCCCGCGCTCGCTTGATTCTCGCCTGGCGCTGAAGTGAAGTGGAGCGCGCATCTGAAACGTCGTTCTGCGACTGAATAAATGCTCTTCTTGTCAAGAGAAAAAGTGACAGAAGCAGCAGTTGTGAGTAGGGTGGCCAACCCTAGCCCCGCCCCTGCGTTAATTGCGTTAAATATTTTTAACGCATTAAACTAAAAAAATGAATCGCCTGCGTTAACGCGCTAATTTTGACACCACTAATTATATTATATTATATTATATTATTGTGGTGAGGCGGGGCTAAAGTGGGGGGGTGGTAAAGTGAGGCGGTCAATTACATGATAACTAACACCTGTCTCTAATTCCAGTGAATGGCGGAGAGATGGGATTTAAGCGGCTCCCAGACCTGGGACAGAAAAAGGACTGATGCAGCACGGATGGTGTGTTTGCACTGTTTTGGTTTTGAGTTTATGCGCGGCAGTGTGCCTAAGGAGTTTATTTTGCTATATTTTGGTCAATAAAGAGTGCTTGCTCGCCACCCAGACTTCTTCGTCATTTCTATCTTTGCAAACCCTCTACAGTCATATTATATTATACATGTCATGTTGGAGGATACGTTTTTTATTTATATTATGCTAGATATACAGTGAGTATAGAAAAGAACCACCCCCCTTTAAAATAATCACATGTTGTTGCTTTGCAGCCAGAAGTGAAGACAGAAACAGTTTTTGTTTTATCCAGCTGTATTTACTCAGTGCAACTTATTACATCCAAGTGAAAGATATAATACCAACATGCCAGAAAAAAAATAATAAATTAAATTTTAAAACAGAATCACTGAGTTGGAAAAAAGATCACCCCTCCTAAAAATGAACTCAATCAGGTATAGCTAA